GAGAGAGAGAGAGAGGATCTAGTCTTGGGAGAGAGTGAAAGCTCTTGTAATGTAAGAGAGGGTTCAAGCTAGACCTTTATATAGAAAGAAATCTATCTCCTAGTTTGAATATGATTCTTCGAATTAAATTTTCTTTGAATTAAATTTTCCTAAACCAATTCTAATTTGAATTAGATTTACCTAGTATAACTTATTTTAAAAATGAACCATAAATTAAGAAAGTGGGGTGTGGCCCCCTTTATGCAATAAAAGGGGCGTGCCACCCTAGGGGTGTGGGTTCCACATGGGTGGCACACACATGTAACAGTTGGATCCTTGGTCCCCACATATCCTATATAAAGTTATGAAAATTTCAAAAATATATTTTTATAAAAAATGATGCAGAAATAATATTTTAAAAATCTAAAAACATATTAAAAATCAAAGAACTATTTATAATACCCAAAAAAATACTAAGAGTCGACTGGTACCAATGGGTCAAAATTAGCGACACTAAGTGCACTCCACTCGTCTTAGAAATTGTGATCCACTATTGTTCTCTTATCTAACCCAACAAAGTTCCATGACCCATAGTCTCTTTGCAAGGGCTCATGATTGGTTTGTCAAAGTTGGATAATAAACAATGGGACCATGCTCTTGGAATGTAGATTTTAGTTCTCTCTTTTAAGAGCAAGTCTAGCATTTGTCACTACAATGCAAAAGGGGCTTTCTCTATGCACATGTGCACGTGTCCCTCTATAGCGCTTCTTCCCAATAATGGGGTTGTCGTGTGTACATATTGTGCGGAAGTTTGTTGAGGCTTTGGCCCTTGTTCTCACAGGCCTACAACCGCACACAGAAATCCACACAATCCTGCTGGCCAACAAACCTGATCCCTAGGCATCTCTCAGACCTCAGCAAGGGATGACCCACTACAAACCCTTCTCGGTAGTGCCACATGCCCAAAGCCAAGGGGTTTGGACATGACTAAGGCCATAAGCCACCTAACCCTTAGTCAGTTAATACACTCATTCCCACTGAAGTGCATATTCTACTATAAATATCATTTTTACAAGCTCTCTAGGCCTTTAAAGGCCACAAAACCCAACACAGACGAATCCATACTTGATGCATGTAGAGACATTTTTGTACTGTAGTTAACATCCAGTTACATCCATAGATCTTAATCAACAATTGAGATCAAGTTACATCCTTTGATCTCTTTAAATAAAAGGTTTTACAAATCTAGTTCACCCCATATCTGATCACACTCCCTTTTTCCTTGAAAAAATAAAAAAACAACACTAACAATACTTCTTTGATTGGGGCATATAAAACCTTATCCATCCAACAATTAGGTTTTCGAATAAATACTTGATCGACATTGAAAATCATAAAAAAAATCTCACCTCCATTAGCACAAATACTACTATAGTATCATGCTACAGTACTATTCTAGAATACCATCCTTACTGATTGTCAGGCTCTGATACCAAGTTGAAACAAAAGTAGAGAAGAAAACAGTTTGGTAGGATCTATAGCAAGAAAGGAGGAAAGAAAATAAAGATGATGATGAAGAAGGAGAGAGAGAGAAAGACGTGTGACAGATAGAGAGATAGAGAGGGAAAGTAAATGGACCTCTACCCCTCTTATAACATTAAATAACGATCCTAATTACAACTTATGGACAATATTGCCCTTATTTAGACACATAAGACAAATAAGGACTAAATAAAAGATAAATGACAGTTATGTCCATCAAATACAGTAAATCTTATTCCTTTTATTTCCAACACTGAGTTCACAATCATTGATTGCAACTCCTATTGATTGCTTTAGCAGCTTGTAGCTGGGAACATTTCTTCCACCATTGGACATTTTGTTATTCAATGAGGGTTGATTGTTTTGATGGGTCATGTTCGAATATTTTCTATAGGTAATGATATGTTATCTACACAACAGGCACCGACTGCTTCACTTAGATCTTGTATCTTGTAGAACTTGTCGCTTGAACACTCAGTCCATTATTTGTCTAATACTTTTTGAAGTTGGAAATAATGAAGGATCTTTATCTCTTTTGTAGCAGTGGCAAGACCGTGGTTTTTCTGGATTTTCTGTTCCAAATTGAAGGCTTGTTTCGTTTGATGGTCTAAGGGAATAGTTAGTAACAAATTTTGCATACATGGATGGTGGATGGACAATGTGGAGATGTGCGACTAGAGCTTTATGTGATTGTTACATATCAATGAAATTGAAGGGGAAGTTTCTATAGGATCGATGTAAGACTAGCCAAGCTTTATCGTACGGAATGTTAGGCGGTCAAGTAACAACATATCTATAGAACGAGTGTGGTTGAGATGAGGATGTTGAGATGGATGAGTGTTAAAGCAAGAAAGGACAAAATTCAAAATGACTACATCCAAGAGAACTTAGGGGTAGCTCCAATAGACAATAATATGAGGAATGTAGACTTAAGTGATCTGGCCATGTGCAATAGCGACGTAGAACAACAGTGTAGGGGGGGTGTTTTGGTTCAAGTGTCAGGCTCTAAACGGGCAAGGGGAAGCCCCAAAAGGACATGGAAGGAAGTAGTGATACGAGATATGGAAACTTATGGTTTGACTAAAAGTATGGCCCTTGATAGAGCAGAATGATGGAACAAGATTTGTGTAGCTGACCCCAATTGTTGGGATAAGGCTCGAATGATGGTGATGTTGATAATGGATGATTAACTCAAACTTTGCCCTAAAAGTAGTTTATGTATTGTAGAGTTATCCACAATTGATTTCTTCTATGCTAACTGGTAACTTTCCCAATAAATGGCTAAACGCACAGTTAAGAGGCTTGATATTGACGTTTTTTAAGTGGGAACCTCACATTAAGACTTTTATGTGGGGACCTCACTTTAAGAGGTCCCACTTATTAATTAGCTCTATGGTGGTTAGTATAAGCCGATTTATCATTGTTATCAACTTCAATGCACCGGGTCTGGTTTGCTCTCGAGGATAGCTTTTTTTAGGATTATATTTCTTCTTTGTATAAAGAGTTGAGTTCCTAGATTCAGCTACACAATATCTAGATTTTTGGGATAAGCTAGGGTGTCAGTTCCAACAATTTCCTATTTTCTTTTTCATCAAATAAACGGTTTAGAAATTACCAATCGTAAAATAATAAATGCAGAAAATTGTAGATTATGTAAGTTTAAAAAAATACTAAGAGATGCTTGTTATTTTGGCATATAAATTGTTGTCCATGTCGCAAATACTTGTATTTGTTCAACATATTTATTGCTGCTGCACAAAGTGAAAGTTCCAAATTATTATCCATGCAATAGTGCTTTATCTTGTTTATTATTGCTGTGCAAGCAAAATTTTTGAGATTTATAGCGTCAGTTCCAACAATTTCCTATTTTCTTTTTCTGTCAAATAGAAGGCTTAGAAATTACCAATAACAAAATAATCAATGTAGGAAATTGTAGATTATATAAGTTTAAGAAAATACCAACAGATGCTTGTTGATTTCGCATAAAAATGGTTGTGCTTGTCGCAAATACTTGTATTTGTTCAACATATTTATTGCTGCACAAAGTGAAAGTTCTAAATTATTATTCATACAATAGTGCTTTTTCCTGTTTATTATTGCTGTGCAAACAAATTTTTGAGATTTAGATATGAATCTCACGTATACTTTTCCTTCAAACTCAATAATGCCATGTATAGCTTATTCACACTAGTAACAATATGATTTTGTACGGGCTATATTGTCTTTTCTTGCAGTGAGGGGATAGAACATATTGAAGGTGTTTCTTCATGGTGTGGGTGGCACACTGATCATGGTTCTCTCACTGGTAAGAATCATTTCTGAGGGAGCTTATTATTGCTTGCTAATATTAAATGGGTAATGAAAGATGTTGAAGATTGTGTTTCTGATCCATTTGATAGTTTCCTTCAGTAATATAGTATGCAGGTTTTAAATGTTCTTTTTTGGGGGATTATGAAAGTGAATTCTTGTTAGTACAAGACCCACTTTGCATGCATCCAATTCAGTTTCTTTGGAGCACTCAGATATTTCAAAGCTTCATTGTCTGAGAACAAGGTAAGTTTTCTTTGAATGACGTAGTGCCTCTAGCGTTTCAAGGGTTGAATTACTGCATAGAACTCTATATCGTAAGTAATGTAATTAATTTCTGCCCCACTCAATATCTCGCTAAAGAAGGCCACGGTTCTAACCTCTTGACTTAGGACGCCACCAATTTTCACCTTCGAGGCATCATGCTCCACTTGGAAGACCTTTTCAAAGGCTGGAAGTGTGAGGACAGGAGCTCTTGTCGTTCTTTCTATCACCAATTTGAAGCTGTTTTCAGCAGCCGAAGTCCACTCAAACATCCCTTTCTTCATTCAATCAGTTATGGGTGCTATGATGTTGCTGGAGTTGCTAGACCATATAAGCTTTTCACCTCTCAGTATTTTCAGCCAGTCCCCAAGGGCTTGTACCTTGGTAGGATCCACCTTGACCCCTTCGCATGACACCATAAAACCCCAAGATACTAGGTTATTAGTCAAAAAGGAACATTTTTTGAGGTCTACAAATGACTTTTCCTTCCTATGGATCTCCAACACCTACTGTGAATGTAAAAAATATCCATCAGTCTTTGGCCAGTGAATGAGGATAGGATAGAATTTAAAATACACTACTACAAACTTGCCAATGAACGGATGGAGCATTGGTTCATAACCCTTATGAAAGTTCTCAAAGTATTAGAGCCCAAAGGGCATGACCCGCCACTCATATAAGCCTTCTCACGTCTTAAACACAGTCTTCCACTCATCTCCAGGTCACACACGAATCTGGTGATACCCACTTCTCAAGTCAATTTTGGAAAGACCCTTGATCCCGACAACATCAAGCATGTCATCAAGTCTAGGAATAGGGAAATGGTCTACGACTTTTGTTAATTGCCCTATTGTCTAGAGTGCATTCTCCATGAGCCATCCTTCTCTAGGGTTAACAAGGCAAGGATAGCACATGGGCTCATACTCTCTTATTAACCCTTTCTTTAATAACTCTGTTACTTGCCTATGTAACTCCTCGTGTTCTCTAGAACTCGTTCAATAATGTGGCAAGTTAGGGAGTGTAGCATCTGGAACCAAATCAATACAATGTTTAATTGTTCTCATGGGTGGCAACTCGTTGGGTAATTCATCAGGCATCACATCCTTAAACTTTTCACCGAAGGCTTAACTATTGTGGGGATGTCATCAAGGCACAACCCTTCTTTAGCTACTGAAGCATATACTGCTTGTTGTTCTTTGCTTTCTTCAATAAACCAGTTAAAGTAAGGACAACTTCTCCTCCCCTACCTTTGGGTTTAGGTATGCTCTCTTTCTCGGTAGTTTCAGAACAATTTTCACCCCTTCTTTCCAAAAAGAGTACATATTCTGTTGCCAATGGTGTATGACAGCTCGATCATATTACCGCCGACGACCCAAAAGGATATTATGCATCCTTGTGTAGAAAAGTTTTACCGAATAGAAAAATATTAATTATGCAACAAGAAGTTACTAGTGTCTCATTACCTTCCAAAACAATGCTATTTTGTAGGGCTGGGGGTGTTTGTCGCATTTCAACTTCAACTTGTCTACAACCGCTTGAGACACCATATTGCCGCAGTTGCCACTATCGATGATAATGGTGCACACCTTCCTAAGGGCCATACAATGAGACTGGAAGATGATAACTCGGAGTCACAGATCTTCTACCACCTTTGGGGCAGTGAGTGGTTGTCTAATGACAAGAAACTGAACTCCCCCTCATCAGCTTCAAGTTCAGCAACATCTTACTCATTTTCCCCTACTGTCTCTTTGTTGAATGCTAGCCATGCATGAAGATCTCCTTTGTCGCCCCACATTTCTAACATTTTACACATTGGTCTCGAGATTGTACAGGCCTATTGGCATCTAGAGTTTGTCTTTAGATGCTTCATTTGGGTGTGAGTGGGTCTCGACTTCTCGGGCTTTTGATTTGCCACATGTCCCCTTGGAACTAGGGTTGATTTTGAGCCACTAGAGTGGTTTTTCAATTTGGTTTCAGCTTTTAAGGCCATTTGATAAGCCTTGGAAGTCTGAAAATTCAGTGTAGAATTAGTTTGTTCTGAATTTGAGGTTTTAGTCCACTCACATACTATGCGCCGAATTGGTCATCGCTTTTATAGATGTCGTTCCGGCTCATAAGGAGGGAAAATTCATCTGTATGCTCCTAGACACCCTTCCTTTGCTGCAATAATGGAATCATTGGTACAATTCTTGCGTGTAACTAGAGGGTACGAATTTCTCGTTAAGACTTTGACTTATTTTTTGTCTAAGCCGCTGTCTTTTCTTCCCCTTTCATGCTCGGCCAGCCTGCACCGGTTGACACCATATTTGGTCATGCCCCTTGAGTTAGGGAGCCACAAATTTAACTTTCTTTTCTACTGGGAAATCTTTCCACATAAAGAAATCCTCCATTCTATCTAGTCCCTGCAAGAATTCATTGGGCTAAAGCGTTTCCAAAAATTCAGTGATGTCGACTCTCACATCTTGATCAGAAATGGCTGGGGCGAGAACCAACCTATCCTCCAACAAGGGATTCTCCCTCCTTTGGTTGTGGAAAGGATTTGCACTTTCTTCATTTGATTCCTCACTTTCATAAGCAACCGATTCTCGTTCAAAGTGGGTGAATGACCCACCAATTGTCCCATTGCCTTGAATTTCCTCAATAATTTCTCATATTCAGCCGTTGTGACAAACTGCTTCCTCTGCCTCCACTGCCTCCACATCCTCCTCTATTGACCATAACTCTAGGTCCAAAAGAGAGGATTTATGCTTTGATAACACTTGATGTAGAATTGAGAGAAAAGAGAGAAAAATAATTCACAATTGTGTAGAAACTAAGGGATTTCAACTGTGATTCAAAGGCAATGGGCTGAAGCTAACAAAACCCAGCTTCAATGGCTTGTATGAGGGTCCAAGGACCATCCAGAATGGGAACTATGTTCCTGAGGTTCTGAAATTTTACAGCAAATCATCGATTCCCAGCAAGGTAAAGTCCTATTTTAATAGACTTGGCTTGGCTCCAAAGCCTAAGTTCTCTTAACTTTCCTAGGAGCATTAATGGACAATCCCTTCCCCAAGTCATGCATATTACTTCTTCCCAAGCAAATTTGAGATTCAAATTCTAACCTTTCCATTCTAGTTTCCCCGTGCCCAAAATGTAAATGAAAACACCTGGCTTTTATGTAAATTTCAGAAAAGTTCTTAACAGAGAAAATACCCAAAATACCCCTATCTTACCAAAAAACTAAAGAGAAAGCACAGTCCGCAAAATGTTAACAAAACATTATTTTATTTTCTGCATCAGTTTTACATAGAGAATGAGGATATCTGCAGTTCAGGGACCATGGTTTTTGAAGGCCATGGTTTTTGTGGAGAGAGAAATCTTTGATTTGAAGACCTTGGTTTTCAAATGTCGTGGATTTTTAGTGAAAATTTGGGGAAAATTATCTGGGTAAAATCTTGATTTTTTAGAAAATGTTAGGAATCAATTATTGAATCGTTGCAAATCATTAAAATTCACAACTTTTATGTTTTCACGGATGACTGTGAAGAAAACCCAACACATTGCCCATTTATTTATTCTCTTTTTAGGCAACATTATTTCTTGCTTTCAAAGATTGGGCTCAATCTTGCACTCACACTGATGCAGGAAAATAGGGAAACTAGGCAAAAACTGTTAAAAAAACCATCAAACGAGCTAGATTTGACTGGATTTAGCTTTCCTTGTGCAAAAAGTGAACCGAAAACCCTAGATAGGGCTTGATGGCACTATTCACAGTTTTTTTTACTATTCATGCCCCAAAAGTGTAAGCAACCCTATCACCCCAGGTCCTTTTATTACATTATGATAAAAAAGATTTAAACATTATAAAAATACCCATAAGTCCATTCACTTAAATTAAAATAATAAAGATCCCTAAATTGCCCTTAAACTTCAATTAAAATATTGGAAATAGCTAGAAAGCTGTAAAAACAACAATAAACTAAAAATAAGTTCCTTCAAAAAGTCGGCACTCTCCTCCTGGATCTCCTTGCAAGCTTGGATGTGGATCATCATAAAGGGGATTGTTAAAAGATGGATTGATTGGGGCAAAAGACTCATGGGAACTTTCTTGACTAGTCCAAGGACTGCTCGACATCATTCGCCCCTGGTTGGGAAGAACTTGACCTTGAGTTCAGGTCTTTTTCTATTGCTACTTCGGGTCCATGGTACTCAAAACGATCAGCAATATTGAAAATATTCGAGATCTTAATTCAGCTTGAAGGTCGATCTTATAGGCATTCCTCCCCATATTTCTCAGCACCCGTAACAATCTGATCTTCTTGTCATTCAGCTTGTTGTATTTGCCCACAGGATGCTTATCTTTGAGTAGATAAACCATCAACAAATCGCCCACCTAAAACTCTTTGAGTCGCCTATGTTTATTTGTAGCTTTCTTATACTTGGTAGTGGCAATCTCCAAATTAGCTCGAACCTGGTTATGGACATCCTTCATGTGCTCCATCATACTGTCGACATCTAAGTGTCCTTTCCCATTAGTAGGTGGAGGAGTCAAATCCATCATATGGTAGGATCCCACCCATGCACGACCTCAAATGGGCTCTTACCAGTTGACCTGCTGTGGTAACTGTTGTACGTGAATTCAGCTTGTGGCAAAGTCCCATTGTCTCTTTTTGCCGCCCACTATTCTGCGAAGTAGGTTATCAAGGGTTCCGCTAACGACCTCAATTTGACCATCAGTCTGTGGATGATAAG